GAATATGTTTTGCAACCTGTGGAATTTAATTCAAACTCAAGCAAGAAAGCTCAGATATTCTCACTGCATAGAATATATTTGAAAGGAAAATACATCGCATGATATTATGAAGTCTGCACAGGATACTAGATTGAATTTACCACAGTGAAAACTAAAGTGGTCTGTGAAGAACTCTTAAACATTAATCCTCAACTCTGGGAGAATGTACTGTATAATAGAGATTTTATTATGTACCATGCTTACTTCCAAATAAAGTCCCTAGCCCAATCCTTCACAATAAATTCTAATCCACATGTATTTTTATTTAAACAGCAGAATCCAACATCTTAATACCTCTTGTTGATTTGTAAATCAAAACAATTCTCATATTAAAAGCAGGATCAATTGCCTTAACAAAAGGAGCTCCCTTTCAATCATGAGTTTTACTGCCTTCAGCATTAATCTCAATCTTTTATCAGAGGAATGTACCTCTAAAATTAAAACATAGTGCACTTTTATGCATTAGCACAAGTCACATGGAGTATTTTGTGCTCCAAAAAATTAGTTTTCTTCTGGACACATAGATTGCAGTGGGAACAGGAGTTCTGGAACACGAGACATTAGTCTAGGATAGTGCTGATATGTTATAGGGCAGAGAAAATATATCAGGGAAGGAAAAGGGGGCTATATATTCTGTTTTCTCCAGTCTGAAACACTGAAATTCCATTTACAGAAGAGTTAAAGCTCATATTTACAAAGCTTTCAGCAAGGAAACATAAAGTAACTGTAACAATTACCGCAGAACCTGCTGTACGGAATCATTTTCCTGCTAGAGTTGGGGATCACTTTCAGTTCCTGCACTTTGAAGAAACCCAAATACTTGTGGAGGTCTGGCCTGTTTCCGACATCAAAGCTTATGTTGCTGTTAATATGTAGGTAGGTTACCATAATGGAATAACCCATCCACTCCAAAATTCTCCACCCATCTCTTTTTGCAAACAACACACAAGTGTTGTCCATTTGTCATGAATGATAGAACAGATTACAGTAATTACAGAAATACAGAAAACGTGTGCTTTTGATCTGTTTCTTTAAAGCTTGGGAATCCATAAGCTTCACTTCTGAAATATTCTTTCCATTATCTGCTCAGCTAAGTAGCACTTGGGAAGTCTACAGAGTCAAAGCCTCATTGCTCATCCCGCATACCTGCAATGCCACAGATCATAATTCTGCTATAGGAACATAAGGTGCTTGCTGCCTCAGTCTACTTGACACTGACTACAACTGGCATGTCAGGGTTTTAGGCAGGCAGTTTTCTAGTTCAATGCAGAAATGCCAGGGATGAATTTGAGATCATCAATATGCAAAGCAATGAATTACACAATTGTACAGGTTCACAGCCAGGTACAGGAAGCAGTGGCACATGGGATAGGAATCGCAAATCGTTAGGCCTAATGTTCTAATCAGAGGAAGCAAGATGGAGAGGGACCAGGGAAGAGCTATTTTCTCTAGTATTATCCATTCACCATTCCAAAGTTGCTTTTTCTTTTATCTGACTTAATTATTTTGTTCCTAATTATTCTGTACCCTTAATTACTTTACAGTCAAGTTTTTACTGCATTCTCAATACTAAAAAAAATATGGTGTTGTTTCATAAAAAGTAATGTATAAATTGCATTAATTAAAGTAGGAGAATGATGCTATCATAAATGTTCTCTAACCTACAAAGTAAACTAGTTTATGATAAAAGAAATAATCTAATCTAAATTCAGTTAGTCTCAGAGTTCTGAACATAATAAAATATTGGGCAAAAAAAAGTTTCCAAAATGCTACTGCAATCAGTGGAACATTAAAGCTAGAAATCAAACGCAGTTGCATTTTAAGAACAATTAATGTTAAAAGTTTGTGCACAAACTGGACTTGGGCTACTCGCTGTCTCTCAGCCCAATCTACCTTACAAGACTGTTGTAGAGAAAAATGGAGAGGAAGCACTATGCATGCATCTTCAGCTCCTGAAGGAAATTGTAATGGTTAAGTCACTCTTGATTCCTGGTAAATACAGGAATGAGTCCATGCAATTTTCTTGACAAGATTTTCAGAATTGGTGTTCTTTGTACCTAAAGCTTGCAGCCCCCCAATAGCTTTAACCATTATTATGTATCAAACTGGCATTCCTAAAAGGCAAGGTAGAACACAAATCTAATAAAATAAATATATAAATATAAATAAATAGGTGACATTTTGGCCTTTCCATTAACTCACATACAACTCTAATAGATAGATAGATAGATAGATAGATAGATAGATAGATAGATAGATAGATAGATAGATAGATAGATAGATAGATAGATAGATAGATAGATTTCAGTTCATGTATAAGAAATTACACATGTATCTCTCAAATGAAAACAACAATATAAAATGTTGTTCCAACAACTTCAACTGATTTTAGCTTCAGTTTGGTATTTTTGTTTTTGTTTTAATTTTTTAATGAGTTATGTTTTTAATGTATTTTAATCATGTTCTCATTCTAGTAACATTCTAAAAGCATTCATACAAAATTAAATTTTAACTTCTGCATACATTCTGCAAGTGGGTTAATATACTTACATATGGTTTAGAAAAGATCTAGTCTACTTATTTTAAATTATAATTCTCACACCATATAATTTAAACACGTATTAATAATTATAATTATACATGTGAACAAATATTAATAGCTAACATTGGAAATAATGCTGAGAAGAAAAACATTTTAATCAAACAAATATATGTATAGCTTTTAAAAAGTCATTCCATCACAAAGACCATTAAAATGCAATTAAGCAGCAACATTTTCGCTTCCCTGCAATGACAGCATCAAAAACTCTGTGGGCAGCATCATACATTGTGCATCTTTCTTCTAAACTCCTAAGGTAGATTGGAGCATTTGCTCTATTATGGAAGGGAGTCATGCTACAACCACCTAAAAATGTTATAGATGAATGGATACAGAGAAACTGTGGTAGCAGTGTTTTCATTCCCATTCTCCTCCACAGCACATAGTTTGGTTGTTCTCCCCCCCCCCCCCCGCAGAGAACCACAATGTACATTTAAATTTCTTACTTGCGTCAATTTATCCTGAAATAAAATTAATTGGCAACTTCATTTTAATCTGCTCCCTCCCTGTTCCAATTCAGTTTCTGAAAGTCAAGGATATTATCACTTAGTGAAACAACATTAACGTATTTTGGAAATATAAGCAAATATATAACCTATATACATATGTTACACAACTATTTCAAACCAAGCCGAACAGATACATGCTTCTAAGAACTGCTTTATCTTTTAGCTAGTGGCATCCTGTTGCTAACCACTTAGAGAATAACAGCCTTTATCAGTCTTGTAATTACCTGCTAGATTTTCACTAGAGTTCTGCTACTGTAGTTTTTAATAGTCAATTTAGCAGTTTTTAGCACCTTAAACTTACTGCCAATATTTTTAAAAATATGTGGCAAGTAAGTTATAAAGTATTTCAATTTTTCCAGACTCCATTCAAGAACCACTGTAAATATAATCTTCCAAGGTGGGTCAGGCACCTTATCTTACAGATGACAAATTGCTAAATGAAAGCTACACTGCAGGCTGTTGTATGACCTTGGAAATGTGTTTTACTATGAAAAATACAACACAAATATTCTTGTTACGTTACCATATTGCTATAACCTGGTAGAAATATTTAACATTACCCCACAGCATATTACCAGTAGCACTGGTAAAACATTTTAAAACATGTGAAATATTAATGTTTTGTACAACTTTAAGCAAATTAAAAGTAAAATAAATTTCTCTCATTAATTGAAATTTAAGAGAGAGACTAAGAAGTTACTTTAATATGTCTGCGGGTATCAAAACTGGGGATTCCTATTCTCCAACACACAGGAACATTTCATTTGCCACATATTTCAAAATGATATAGTAGGTAAAGGGAAAACCTCTTGGTTTTTTTCCTGATAACACAAACGGATCTTTACAAGCCCTTTCATGCCATTTCATTTCAGCACCACTGAGTTATATAACAGCATGCCCTGATGTCAGTTCCAAGTTTTTAAGCTTCATTTATAGGTTTATCATAGCACAGCCCTTGAAGCATGCAGCTTCCGCCCCCACCCCCCACCCCATTATGCAAGGAAAAGTACCCTTCCCAGGCAGGCCCGGCTTCTCTGATGACATCGTTAATGCAGAGCAGCTCCTGCTATGCAGGGGACGGAGCACTGCCTGCAAAACCGAGGGGGGGGGGGAACCTCTTTGCCCTCATATTATTTATCCATTTGAAGCATGAGAGAATTAAGGGCACATATTATCCTGTTGTTGTTGTTTTTAAAAGTAGGCTATGTTTTAAAATGCAGCGTTATTTCTATTGGCACCCACGAGCATGCAAGTACTGTATGGGAAGAGAACTACAAACCCGCACTTTCCCGTGGGCTCCCAGACCCGCGTGCCCGCACAAAACCACCCTTCCCCCGCAGTCAACAGCGTGCGCCCAAGAATTGCAGACCCTCCTGCCTCTTCCCTAGGTCGGGCTGATGGGTGTGGACCTGGAGGGGGGGGCAGGAGCTAACCTTAACAGCTTGTACCCCCGCCTACCCCAACGGGAACCGGAGCCCCGCAGTTGTCTGGCTGTCCGGCCTGCGTGCAGTTCTGTTTCCCCTCCTCGTCCGCACACGGCCATTGTCACAAAGTCTGCAAACGGCCTCCAGACCCGGCTCGGTGCTGCTTTGCGGCGATACGACGCTTCCGTTATCCGCATCCAGGCGTCCTCTCTCCAGCTGCTGCAGCCGGCAGCCCCTCTGGCGGGGGGGACTGGACGTGGGGCGAACCGTGGCAACATCCCCCTTGGTCGTTTCAATCCTAACCTTCCCTTCCCCTGAGCAGGGTTAGATAAACCAAGGGAGAGGAATCTCGCCACCCACCCACCTTGCCCGGTACCCCCCGCGCAAAGCCCCTGGAAAGAGAGCGGCGGCAGGGGAGAGAGAACCCACCTGAGTTTTAACTGAGCTCGGGGCGCGCCGCAGTAGGAAAATGCGGACGCGGGAGGTGTGGAGGGAGGAAAGTGGCGGCGGGCTGCTCCGAAGGAAAGGCGTCGTCGTCGTCGTCGTCGTCGCCCGCTTTCTTTTCGCGAAGCAGACTCGAGTCCCGCGAAAAGGCGGCGGAGCGTGTGCCGTCTCCTCAAGGCAGCTTTCCTGGGCCCTTTCCCCTTCTTCTTCCCCCCTCCCTTCCGTGGCTGTGCAGTCTCGCCCTCCCTCAACGCCTCGCGGGCGCTCCCGCCCACCCGTCTTGCTCGGTGAAGGCCGGCCGGCCTGTGCCAAGACCTGGAAGCGTAGAGCCAGCCTGCCTGCCTGAGTCGGATTCAATGCTAAGTCATCCTCCCCCCAGAGCCGAGGGAGAGCAAGCGAGCGAGGCCCTTTCCCCTCCTCCTTTTCAGCGGCTCTGTGGCTAAAGGGATGGCAACGCGCGTGGGTGTGCTCAGAAATGCCAGGAAAGGACGCCGAGCTTACCAGCTCTCTTTAAAAGGATACCGGAATACCGGTTCTTTACAAAGCAGTATGCCGTCCTTAGGAGAAATGAGCCAGGTTTTCGTTTCTCGACTTAAACCCATCATAGAAATAATAATCCCGCTGGCTTTGCATGTACGCATCTGACCAGCTACTCGTACCTACGTTGAGTTGGGTAATAGAGGTGTATATAGAGCCTGTGTTGCAGAGCAGCAGAAAGACAGATAGATGAGTGTACACGTGAAGTAAAATCGAGCGAGTAACACTGTTATTCGTTTTAAATATTTATTTACGCTGCCCTTCAAAACAGTTTCCCTGAAGATGAGGATCAAAGAATTATAACGAGCGGTTTAATACTTTGGGTTCTAATAGAAAAAAATGTGAAATGTAATAGGTGATATGAGGATTTTTCAAAGAGACACAGACACACAACTAGGAAAGAATGGAACAACTTGCCACAGCCAACTCACTGCAGGACAATTCGTCAGGGTCAGCTCGCAGTGGGACAACTTGTTGTGGGTCAATTTAACAATTCTATTTAATTATTTAAAATAAATAAAAAATATTTTAATTTTTGACATTTACATTTCATTCTATTCCTCCTTTTACATCTTTTCTTTAATGATTCTATTCCATCATTTCTTTGATATGAGTGTAACTCTTATCCCACAGCGAGTTGTCCTGTGTCAAGATGGCCATGGCATGTTGTCCTGCAGTGAGTTGGCCATGGCAAGTTGGCTATGATGAGTTAGCCGTGGTGACTTGGTCATGGCGAGTTGGCCTTGTCGAATTGTCATAGACCCCAACTAGGAGGTCATAGGAAGGCAACTGAAAACTTTAAACTCTCTTGTAAGCTGGGCTGAAGAAACCAACCAGCCTGAAGGAGTATTGTGAGCTTCTGTAAACTTGAACCTAGATCTCCTAGATTCCAGTTCAACATGTTGGATTTGCACAGTAAAAGTTGTTTAATCCAGTTACTAGAGTAGATTGAACACTAGATTGAATGCCAACTGCAACAAAGAAATAAATACCCAGACTGACCATAGGTTACCACTTTCTGCTATTGCACAAGAGTTATTAGATACTCTGTTGTGCAAGGTGATATTGGTAGAAATAACACAAATCTTGTATGGTCAGAAGTCAATCATTTCTTGTCATCAGCAGCATACATAATCATGTATTTTAATATCTCTAGTTTCCCATGTTAGTGTGATGGAGGGAATAAGGAAACAAGACTCTGGTAGCTAGAGACTTGGAAGCAACCCATAGCACTCTTGAAATAGTTTTGATTTCTCGTGTCCTCAATAGCATACTATGGTACATACATACAAGATGTGGATTTCACAATCTCAACACCACTAAATGGATTATTGTTTGGATCAAGGCTTCTTCCAAGGGTTCCACAAGAATTATTTATTAGATTTATATCCCACCTTTGTTTTGTCCAGTGCAAGGCAATGAATTTTATAGGTTTCCATAGGAGACTTAGATAACAAAAAGTTAATTTGAATGCAGTTGTTGTCCATCACTGCTTCTAGATCAGTTCTGGGATTTTTCCTGTTTTAACAGGTTCCATGGTCTGAAAGTTTAAAAACCCATGGTTTGGCCCAGATAGAGTGAGAATTCTAGGTATTGAATCCAGCAAATTTGGAAAGCAGTTGCTTTCCTAACTTTATAGAAAAGTAATAAATGGTAGAAGTAATCTATTCTGTAAGAACATATTGAAACTCAGTTCAAACAATATACTATCCCACATTGTGTAGAATTAGAGGGCAGAAGAAAAGAGCAGAAATGATGAATAATGCCTTTATCTTTTGTAAAAGGCCAGATGACTCAAGCAAATTATCCATCCACAAGAAAAAAGAGAAACAGAGTCATTTAATAAAAGGATAGCTTGCCAGGAAATAGTCCAATTGCTATATCAAACATGTTCTTAATGTTGAAGAATGACCTTCAGCTCTACTTGATAGTTGCAAAAACAGTAATCTTCACTATAAGATTCTTACAGTGCAAACACTCTGATCAGAATTGTCACCAACTCTTTCAGCGATTCTGGAAGACTCCCTACGAAATGCTTTGTAGAGTATTCGATATTTCAGTATTTGGGAATGAGATTTTATCGAACAATTCTGAACACGTTCTGTGGGCTCATCCACAAACGACTGTGATGTGCTTTCTTTGAGATAGGAGGAAAACGTATCAATATAAAGCACTCTACTTTTTCTTTGCCTTGAGAATGAGACTGGTGAGTGCTGCTACTCTAATGAAATATAAAATACTGTAGGACAATGATTGGTGGGTTCCTTGTCAGCCTTTTGTCTTCCAGCCTATCTTGCCACCAGTCATTCCCATGAATACAAAAATGTTCTTTCAACATTTCTAGTGTGGCAGGTTCACTTCACTGAGAATTATTTTATATTTAACAATGAAGAAACAAGGAAATTGTCTAATCAATTTCTTGATCCACATCCCTGACCATTGTGTTTTTGGATCCAGAAAAAGCAGTTATCAAAAAGTTGAATAAAATTTATTAAACGAGATCCAGAAAATTTGTTTTAAGAGCTGCTGCAGGACTGTTGAAAAAGCTGGTGACATTTCTGATCAGACTGTTTCCACTAACAGTTATAGATTGTTTTCTATACAGAATGGTCACAAACTAAATATAACTACTGTACATGGTAAAAATAATTTTATTCAGTGGCATTTGTCAAGGAAGATCTTTTTCAGTTGTCAACTATAGCTCATATATTGTATTCAGAAGAAAGCACTAGGACAAGAAGCAATGGATGGAAGCTAATTAAGAAGAGAACCAACCTACAACTAAGGAGAAATTTCCTGACAGAACATTTAATCAGGGGAATGGCTTGCCTCCAGAGGTTGTGAATGCTCCAACACTGGAGGTTTTAAAGAAGAGATTGGACAACCATTTGTCTGAAATTGTATAGCGTTTCCTGCTTGAGCAGGCGGTTGGACTAGAAAACTTCCAAGGTCCCTTCCAACTCTGTTACTCACTAATTTTACAGTATAATATTCATTGGGGAAAATAGCCACCCCCTTCTAGACCAGCATTTCAGTCTTATTATATGAAATTAATTATCCCCTCTCCATCACCATTACCACCAAAATAAGTTGTGCAGTTAAAATGTTTGGTATTTCTCCTAATCGTAGTTGAAAGAACCTTGAAGAAAAGGAGTCCACTGACCATGGATGATTCCACAACAGGCTCACCAGACCAGATGGAGCCTAGCTCATTGCTCCTCCTCTGTGGGCCATAAACTCTACCTATGGGATCTTCTGTTGCAATAGCAGGGATAATACTACTTTCACTCCAGAAATGCTTATACTATCCAAGGAATAATTTACTTGGCAATTTCTTGCACTACTGGCTTAGTATCTTGCCACACAAAAGTAAAAGAATAGAAAGCAAGTACAGAGGAGGAGGAGGAGGGGAAGGGGGAGAAGGAAGTAATCTTACAATTATTATGTGAGTCATGCCACTCAGCATATAGTTAATTCAGCGGAGATGGGAAGAAATGATGCGGCACCAATTGAAGCATACGCTCCAAACTATGCATTGAAGCCTTCTACATATATACATGGTTGTCAGTGGGTAGTGATCTGACTCATGCCACATTTGTGATGATATCCTATGAGGAAATTTAATATTTTCATGGATTTGTGTCCTATCATCCTCCCACTTAGATGTGTGAAGATGTAGATGGAGTAATTTTTCCAGATAAAAAGTAGTTAAAAGCAAATCCCGACACAATACTTAGTCTGTTTTTCCTTAGAACAGTTACATTTAAGTTCTCCTATAATTATTCCTTTCTCATTATACACTAGAATTCAACTGGCAATAGTATTTAGACCTCAAAAATCATTGGCTAAATTTAGAACACAACTATTAGATGATGCCTAATTCTGTAAACTAACTGTGAAAGCATAGGATGTGCCTGGCAAAGTAAAAAAGAGAGAACCTAAACAGCATGCTTTGAATGCCATTTATATGACAATCCTCCTTTTTGTAGGATTAAGTTGAGAATCAAAGCAGTCAACAAGGGTCATGAATACCATAGAGCAGTGATGGGGAAAGTTTTTGTTGTGGTGTGCCGAAAGCACACACACGTATGATAGTGCACGCATGCATGCCAGCATCCACCATGCAATGTACCCCGTCCCCTGCGCATGCATGCGCAACCCCCCTTATTTGCTCTGCATGCGTGCACCTCCCAGCTGATTTTTGGCCCGTTTGAGGCCGTTTTTGCCCTCCCGGGGGCTTGAAGAAAGCCTCTGCAGCCTTTGGAGGTCAAAAAATGGGCCAGTTTCAGCACTTCTGGTTTCGGCACTTCCGGTTTCGTCACTTCCAGTATTTCGAGGAGGCCCATTTTTTGGCCTCCAAAGGCTGCAGGTGCTTCCCTCGAACCCGTGGGAGGGCAAAAAAGGCCTCAAACAGGCTGAAAATCAGCTGGGAGGTGCACGCATGCACAGTGCAGGTAAGTTTGGCTGGGGCTCACGTGCCCACACAAATGGCTCTGTGTGCCACCTGTGGCATGCTTTCCATAGGTTTGCCATCACGGCCATAGAGAATGAACAGATGCAAATCAAATACAAGAATAAGATATGCAGTCTTTCCGTTCTAAAAAGTGAGCATGGCAAAGGTTAATATATTGCTTTCTTGATATTTGCTGCA